AGGGGGGAGGGGAGGGGAGAGAGAGGAGGGGAGGGGGGAGGGGAGGGAGGCAGGGGGAGGCTCATTCCCCTTGTTGGGGAAGGGAGCATGTTGCCTTTGTTGAGAATGGATATTTCAAATGTTTCAAACCTTATTTTTGAAATGACCCGAGTAACTTTCAACCTGACATAGCAACAATTTAAGGATGTTTTTGATAATGTGAAAACCTTATTTCTTTTAGCTGAGGCGGATTCTTTTCTTCCTATGGTCTGTCGGTTGTACCCCTCACCCCATGTCTTAGTACTGCTCTAAAATAACTGAAAATAATTCTGTAATCTATATCAGTCAACAGCTGACCCCAGAAGGCGCTAACCATGGATGAAATACCGCGCAGGGGAGATCAGGAGTTGATGGGAGGCGACGAACAACAAACTACACCAGAGATGGAGAAAGATGCTCAAAGATTATCAGCAGAGAAAAAAGCTCAGGAGAATGACAAAATGAGAAGAAGATTGGCAGAGAGCACTCAGAAGATATACAAGAACAAGATTCAAAAAATGGTGGATATCATTAAGAAAGCCAGGGAAGGAGGGAATACGATTTTTGTGGATGCGCTGGATGACTCTGGACAGTTGAAGCTGCCACTTTCGTGGGCGTGTGTGAGAGAAGTGTTCAGACATCTGACAAGAAACAAGGCTTTCACCGAGAGGAGCAAGAAACGAAAGATTGGCCCTCAAGGCGAAGTGGAGGATGGCGGTAGCGATGGCAGTGACTCCGAGGCAGACGCCCAGACTTCAGAAGGAGCGTCTCAGTCGTCTCATGCTCAAGGGCCTGACATGTCGGTTGCAACATTACAAGCATACAGGAGTGCATTGAAGGACCTGTACCTCGAGCGCAATGTGGAATTCACGGCAAACGGCGTTGAAGCAGCGACGGGCATGTCTCTAGAGAAGAACTTGGACAAGATGATCGAAGTGTATGCAGAATCTACCACTGGTAGAATATCAAAGGCAGACATGCGTGCGGCAGAGGGGAAACTTCATCTGCCAGTGCAGAGTTACACGGAGATCTGCAGGACCTTTATTGAATGGAAGGCAAAGAGGAAGAATAGGGAGCCAGGGGGTACTGGTCTCTTCGTGCATGCAGCAGCAGCAATCTTGTGGAACTGTTGCTGTCTCAGTGATAGTTTGGATCTGCTGTACCTGGAACATCTAGATTGGGAGAACGATTGTTTGAAAATTACCATGTTAAATACCAAGAAAGATCGCAAAGCGGCGGATCCAGATCTGTATTCCATCCGAACGACGCATGTGTTTGCTTGTCCTACGCAACCACAGACATGCCCTATCTTAGCGCTGGCTCTGTACATCATTACACTCCCTCGCGGAAACACGTTCACGTCAAAGTTCTTCCCAGGGAAAGAGCAGAAGCACAGGTTCAACAGCGTGCTCCAGAGAATCATCGCTGATAAGGCTGGTGCAGAATGGAAAGACATTGGTTCTAGTAGCTTCAGGAAGGGAAGCGTCACTCATCTTCTGTCTATTCCAGGTGGACCAAGTCCACCATCCGTGTACCTGCGTGCATGTTTGCCCCTTGAGACTACACATGATCAGTGCATCTTGGATGGAGGGGGAAACGACCACTACTGCGGAAGGATATTAGCTGGGAATGATTTGGCCTCGGAGTTATTCGAATCCCTCCCACCGCACTTCACCCAGAATGGTTTAGATATGATAGGAGCGATTGGGCTGCACAAGTTTATTCACGGTTACGACTTCTTTCCGAGCTGCTTCAAACGGTGCATTCCTTACTTCATCGCAAGCGTGGTATATCACTTGGATGTGTTGCATCAATGGTATCCCAGGGACAGCCCTATCTGGGGAGCCCCAATGTTTGGTTTTCAAGGCACCAACACTATTGCTTTCCTCAAATCTCTGCGAGAGCACGTGGTAACTGGCATCGGGCAGTGCAAGGACTGCGGGATGACTCCTACTGGCGTTCCCCCGCATGCTCGCGCGATGGCAGAGAATAAGTTGGTCAGGGAAGAGATCGAACGTTTGCAAGGCAATCTAGACAGCGCGATGAGGAAAATGCCCGAGGCGGTTAATACAGCATTGCAACAGAGCTTTGAGAAGCATAGCGCGATGCTTGTTGGTGTGGAGTGTTTGAGTCGATTCAGGATCAATCTGAAGAATGACATCTTAAAGAGCGTCACCAAGGTTTTTGAGAGTCACGACATAAGAAGACAGGTCGTCCACATGAAGCAGCAATCACGAACTGACGAGGTCAATGCACGAATGGAGCCTTCAAATGCTTTCCTGGTGGGAGACGCTTTTCAATGGGACAACGGCAGAATCGCTATGGTCCCCCAGGATTATTGTTTTGTACAAAATGTGCCGTGCATGGATCTTTGGAAGCGATGGCATACGGGCGAGCATTGGACGGACAAGGAAGGGAAGCTGAAGCGCATCGGCCCCTTGAAGCGTTTGAAGTTCGAAGATCTTCAGACGAGACAGATGAGAGCGTTCCTGTCGAAAGCGGGTAAAGTGATGAAGAAGCTGGAAGAGTTTGGGAGGCTGTCAGGAGAGTTGAAGGAAGGGGAGGAGGTGACTTATGAGAATTACCAGAAATGCTTCGACCGTGCGCTCGAGATGCTCATGGAGAAAATTTACGGGAAAGAAGCGTGGAAGAAGAGCAAGGATGAATACGTCAAGCTGGCCTACACCACTGTATACAACTACATCCGGAAACTGCCCGGGGAGAACATGCTCGACGGGGACTCGATGAATGCTGCTGGTGCAGATGGAGGAGAGGGAGGTGGAGAAGGAGGTGCAGGAGGGAGGGGAGAGGCAGCGAGGGGAGAGAAACCGGACGAGAGCACGGGCAGCGAGAGAGCGCATTGCATGGGATGAGGAGAGTTGGAATAGGAGGTGAGGCGTGAAATGACAATAAACCAACAGACACCAGTGTGCGATCGGTTGCAAGCATGTTTGCAATGTTGCGAAAGATCAGTGCCACTGCATGCAGGTCACCCGCCAGGAGTTGCGACCGATGCATGTGAAGTCGGGCATGAGTGCTGGTTACGGCAACGACATGCTGCGAGCGTCTTGGTAAGACAGAAGGCAAGATATCACCGTCTACAGGTCGGTGGTGGAAGCAGAGGCGATTCCTTCCTTCGGACCCGATCAACAAGCCTCTCCCTAAGCTAGAGTGCATGGCAGGCAGAGTGCATTGCTAGACTGCATTATGTAGCCCTACCCCACAGTCTCAGGAAGAACAGCAGTACTGGAATGAGAGGAGGCGGACGGGTGATCAAGGACCATGCCTCCCATAGGAGGAGGATGAGAAAGAGGACAAGGACGAGGACAAGGACGAGGACAAGGACAAGGACGAGGACGAGGACGAGGACGAGGACGAGGACAAGGACAAGGACGAGGAGGAAGAAAGATAGGAAACCCTTGTGATTCCCAGCTCTAGGCTCATAATGAAGATTTGTGTCACTATAGAATCAGCGTGTGTGAAAAGATCAGCAAGGACGTGAAAGACTGAGACGTGTGAGAGAATCAGTAGAGGGAAATGATGAGGCAGTGGGATCGGGAGAAGAAGACCTCGTGATTCACTCTTGTCACACTTGACAGGTTGAATCAGAATCAGAGAGAGTAGATGACGTCAGCTGAGTGAACAGTTGAGGGAGTATGGTTGTAAGATAGAATGTTCGAAATGATAGACCAGAAGGAATTATTTCTTGACGTTTATCTTCATCTCGCCCATGTGCAGGTAGACACTGGCGTAAGTCTGACGTTGGTTTTGTTCGAAGATGTACGTGGAGAATGTCATGAAGGCATTGGAGCCACTCAAGATTCAGCTGTGGACCGGGCAAACAGACTTACCTCCCTTATCCTCCTCCTCCTTTTGGTGGAAGACCCGGACTGCAGAAGAAGGTCTTCATCGTCTGCTCCAACCCTGTTGGTTCATCGTTCTCCAACGCCATCGCTGACTCGGCGGAGACGGGGCTGTTGGCCAGCGGCCACATGATCCGTGACAGGATCAACCTCTACTCCATGCCCAATGAGATTGGAGGAGGATAGTTCCGTTCACTCCTTTCCATGAGGAGAGGCAGAGCTACATCCAAAAGAATGACCAGCCCCAGCTGAGACAGGACAAGCACGAAGTGGTTTGGATTGTACGAGATGCATTCAGCTCAACCTCGCGAGGTAAGATGCTGTTTGGAATCACTGCCTCTAATCTGCTTCCCTTGTTTGAAGAGGTTAAGAATGATGGGTACTGTTTTTCACCTCCCTCGCTGTTGAGTCACCGTGCCGCCTTCGTTTGAGCCACGTTTCCTTATTTGAAGTTCCTTGCCTTTGTTTGAACCCCATTCCTATGTTTGAAGTTGAGATATCATGCCGACTGTTCATCTTGGCTCGAACAGGTGTGCACGGAGATCTTGGAAGAGGTAGAGAGTTCTTTCAAGGATTGGTGAAGTAGTTCATACTTTATTCAAATTCAAAACAAAATCCCCAAAACATCCTGTTCTACCAATACTGACTTCATTGCCTTCGTTCACCTTGAACCCAAAACAACAACCACACCTTCGCCATCTTCGATTTCACCCATCCTGCTATGATTCATTTCTGCTTTTCGAATCCACTCCAGTACACATTTTCTTGTCAGTGTTGAATGCGACCAGCATTCCGAGGTTTGATGCCTCGGAGCGCCGCCGGCCGTACGGTGCGGTGCGGCATCACTCCAATTTACTAGTTATTATCAGTGCACTCAGCTCGACACTGCCTGAGGCTCGGCATCACACGGTTATGTACTACCGGCATTCGACTGCATTCTGCGGCGGCAACTTGGCAACCCGCTGCCGCGGCCCGGGCCGGGCCGCCGCTCACTGGCTGGACCGCAGAACTTGACTTGTCACGGCGGCCCGGCCCGGCCGGCCCCCGGGCCGCAGGCCGGGAGATGGCCGCAGGCTGCCCGGCCGCTGCCGGGCCCGGTAGAACGAGGAGAGTACCCGTGTTTTTCATATGCAAAGAAGGGGTGATCGATGCTGCGAGCAACCCAAAAACAGGGGTGAGGGTAGTCATTTTCTTCTAGAACCCGTCACAGACAGAAGCTTTTGGTTAGAGGAGTAGGGGTATTCACAAAGAAGTCCATGAAAAAGGGGGTAGGGGGGTAGGGGTACGTGTCATTGTGTACGTGCGGCCCTGGTGGGCATCGAGTGGGGGGGTGGGGGTAAAGCGATGGGTAAGGATTGAAAATGGGTGGATGGGGTAGGGTGGTATGACCCATCGTTGTAAGATACCCTACCCTAGTAAATCGAGAAATTGTGTTCGCAAAATTACCGGTACTTCAACATGAATGTAGAGGGTTGCCATGTTCAAGAAAGGGTGGTCTAGAATTAGGGGGTTATGGGGAGAAGGGGGTAGTCTGAAGCAGGGTGGTGGGGTGAGGCACGACGTCGGGAAGAATGGCTGGAGCGAAGCGGCTGCGATGGGTCGGCCTAGCGGTCGTCATGGCTGCACTTGTGCTAGTAGCAGGCGAGAACCAAGGTAAACAATGAACAAAACAAGAAGATAATAGATGGGAACCTTTGAACTCTTGCATCTTATGTTTCTTGCATCACGTTGTTTGAGATGAAGACGGCTACCCACGTGAAACTTTGATTTGCACGAAGATCTTGATAGAAGTGCTTCATTGATGGGTCGCATAAGATTTCTACGATTTTTCGTCTGAAAGCTCATATTTTCACCATTTCAACTGAAATTAGTTGATGAACACTGTAACACTGAATGATATTTTATTGGCACGTGTGAGCGGTCGATCGAAGTGTTGGTGCAGGATGATGGTGATCTTCAAAGTTTCATTCGTGAAAATCGATGAAATTATGCAGTCTTGACTGTTGTCCATGAAGAGAGAAGCAGATTTCGACTTGATCGTTGATCTCTGTCTAACAGGTGGGGATGCGGCGAAGTCAAGCACTGAAGCCAGCGCTGACAGCAGCTCCAACACACTTTTCAGCTACAAGGACATCACAAGGTGAGTTCACGAGATTCAGCATTATTATGTCATGACAGTTCGCCTCGCAAAACAACAGTTTCCTGCAAACAAGATGGGAGCACACTGTGAAGTTGTTCGACCGCGACTGGCTCACGGATGTCATCAAGCTGCACAAGTCTCCGGTATGCTTCATGTCTACATCAACATGGTCTTGTTTGTTGATTCTTTGTCTGACAACAGAAAGACTTCAAGAGGTTCTATTGCGATGTGAAAGTGTTTTTCCTCAGTCTCAGGGGCTATGAGAAGGAGGCTACCAATCATACCTCGCTGCTGCGCCTCACTGTGAAGAGGCCAATCTATGCCAAACTTCTGAATGAAGTGTTGGAAGAAAGCCACAAGCAGCCTGGAGAATGGATTGTAGCCAAAGAGCCTGTGGAGGGATACAACGTTTCGAAGAAATCGGTCGACAAGTTCAAGAAGTTCATCGGCCAAATCCCTTGCCTCGAGATGAAACGTGCTGCGTGGAAGGATGACAACATCGTTTTCAAGGCTAAGATCAAGGAGGGACATGAGAAGGATGGCCGTATTCTGAGCCTGGCGATGGGAACTCTGCACTCAGGGCTGAATCCGATCAAGAGGTTCAAGTACGCGCTTGCGACGTCCCTTGAAGTTCCAGCGGACCTTCCTTGGAGAATAGCGCACATTCCCTTTGAGATGACCTTGTGGATTATCATCGACTGCAGTGTGATGTTCACATTCTACATCATCCCACATTCTGACGGAGTGCTGAACTATGTGGACAAGTGAGTCCATTTTGTGTTACTTGGATGACTTCAACATGTTGTTACTGAAACCTTGGTGGTACAGGTATCTGGAGAAATCGAGTGCCAGTGTTAGGGGGCTTGCTGTGTTGATACCAGCTTTGCTCTTGATTTACATCTTCACCGCCATCTGGATCGAACTGATTTCTGTCGTTTTTTGTGAGTGTACTTGCGTTTTTACTGATCTTCCTGTCGCTGATTCGCACTTAGATTACCTCTTCGTATTCCTCTGGGCAATCGTCCGTCCGTTGCTGTCCCCCATCCTTGGAAAACCAAAGCCCTCTGAAGAGTCGGAAGACAAGAAGAAGAAGGAGTGAATGCTGTCTTGGTGTTCCGATGTTGGTGGGAGACTCCAAAGACAAACAAGGGCAAGAGGAGTGGCGTCCATTGGGAACCGTGGCGGCTGAGATCTTCGTGACCGTGACGGTTTTCATGAGCCTGGCATGCCGGAAAATGTGATTCTGAAATAAATCGATCTCGTTCATTACTGCCCTCCGGCCACTTTAGGCAGGGCCGCGCCGGCCGGTGCCGGCGGGCGGCCGGGGGCCGCCCCGCCCCGGTGAGTCCGAACTGCCTCAGCGGACTGAAGCACTGCCGCAGTGCCCATTCAAGCCAGCACAAGGGCTCGGATTTGCCACGGAAACTCCCGGAGTCCGCCGGACTCGGGGAGGCCTGGGCCGCCGCGTGGGCCGCAGGTGAATGGCGAGACGCCGTGCGCGTGACTCGCGCAGGCCCGGGCCACCGCTGCCGGGCCAGAGCACCGGCCCCGCCGTGAGAATTAGTGCTGGCCGGGCCCGGCGGGCCGGATCGGACTCACCTTCGGGCCCGGCCCGGGGCGGAGTGGCCCGGTTGAGTAACTTAGGCTCGGAGCTGTGAGTCATTTCTCGGGTGAGTCGGTGGATGAGGGGCAACACGGAGGCCGCAATGGTCGCAAGTGGAGATGAACTAGGTTGGGGAGGAGAAGAACCAACGATGGGACGAGGAGAGCAAGGAGGACGAGGACGACGACAAGGACGAGGTAAGATGCTGATCCTATGGCTGTGTTACTATGTCCCATCACGGTCCTGGTCTCTATTGCTGCAGCTTCTGCTATAGATCTGTGATCGATGTTGTTTTGCAAATTCGCGTCTGTCAGATTGTCCTGTTGCAGAATGTCGTTTACAAGAGTCTGAATAACTTCGCATTTTCACAGTCCAGAGTTTTCTGCTCTTGCTCGTCGTTCTGCTACAGCTTGTTCAACATGCGGCCTGCTTGCATTACAGCGGCAACAAAGGGTGTATGAGGGATTTGAAGCAGATCCCATTGAGAAGTCAGGACAGACAAACTTTGAGACGCTTCACCTCAGAGGGTCTATCAGAAACTTCCAGCAGGAAAGTCCATGGGGATGTTCTTCGCGTTCGAGGAGGAGGATCGCTTGACTTCAGCCGTCCTGAGACGGTCTTCAACACATACCTAGCAGGGCTCGCAGCATGTGAGTTTGAGGAGGATCTGCTGAGCTTGCTGACACGTCTTTCTTCTTCCTGGTGTATCATACAACGTGTTGCTCAGTTTGTGCTCTGTTGAGGGTTGTTGGACTCTCGGGCTCCAACAAAGTTGTCTCGGTAGCTAACGAGGTCTTTAGGAAAAACGACTTCATTGCTATAGATTGACAATATTACAGAAGTATCAAAAGCTCAAGACCAATTACCTCGCCGTCTTCTGGTTGATGTTCGTTGTTTGATCAGAAGTCTCTAACATCCATCCAGGGCGTTCAAGCTTGCAGACTGGCTTCACGGTCCTTATTTCTACTCGGTTGATAATTGTGTTGTTGCAACCTGTAGTCTGATGGGTTTACAGGTGTATGCGAGCAAAAAACATAATGGGAAACCTCTCGGAGAGGATTTGATCGGAAAGGTGATACAACCGAGAACATCTCGTCTCTCTGACGGTGTTTACAGCTGTTCCTGTGTGGGTTCGGGGCTTCCATGATATTCGGGACAGTTGCAGGAAGTCTCGTGGACACGATTGGAAGGAAGGCAGGTATGGGAGAAGAGGAGAGAGGGCGGGAAGGGGGGGGGGGGAGGAGAGGAGAGGACGAGAGAGGGGAGGCGAGGAAGCATAGTGTAGAGGAGAGGAGAGAGGAGGGGAGAGGAAAATGAGAGCACAAGGATAAGGGAGAAGAGCGGGAAGGAGGTGGGTTGAAAGGATAGTGAGGGAAGACAAGGATGGGGATGAAAAGCTGGAAAATTCTCACAATGTTTTGTGAAGGTTGCCTTGCCTTCGGTCTGATCTACTCGCTCTCTGCACTTTCAACGTTCGTGTTCCTTTCTGATTATCCTTCCTGCTTCTCATGCTCCTTCTCCTGCCCCTCCTGCCCCTCCTGCTCCTGCTCCTGCTCCTGCTGCTCCTGCTCCTCCTCCCTCTCCTCCTGCTCCTCCTGCTCCTCCTCCTCCTCCTTGACTGTCCCCCTGTAGTCGTGCAGCATCGCTCCCCTTCCTCCTCCTCGGTCGCGTCCTCGGAGGTTTGAGGTCGAAGTTGATTCGGCGCTCCTTGACGCGATTGAAACGCAGGAACTGCGACCTCCCTCCTCTTCTCAGCTCCAGAAGCCTGGCTGGTTGGAGAGCACGGAAAGCAGGTGACTGCTAGAGGGAAGGACGCAGAGAAGGAGATGTAGGGTGTGTGGGGGCAGGGAGCAGAAGAAGGACAGAAAAGGAGGGCGAAGAGCATCATGAGGAGGAGGAGGAGGAGGAGGAGGAGGAGGAGGAGGAGGAGGAGGAGGAGGAGGAGGAGGAGGAGGAGGAGAGGACGAGAGGAGGAGGAGGAGGAGGA